GGAAACTCCCAGGAAGTTGGAATGATGTGAGCCATTGCTGGATGAAGCAGGAGAGGAGTAGGATGAAGGAAAAAACACAACAGTATTTCTATATAGACTTGTTTTATACAATGCAAAAAGGTTAATAGTGAACAAAAGCTAAACATAACAGGTTCACTAAAGTGCAGGTTGGAACTTAAGTATGGAAGAGGACATACAAATTGGTTCTGCATTAGGCATACTCCTTTTATACCTTGCACACTGCACAATTATATAGTTCACATTATACTCATTTCACTAGCTTTGAATGTTATGAGTTACCTATTTTTCACACAACCTACAAACTTTAACAAGCAAGGATTACAAAGATATCCAGAAGAATTTAAATCTAGACACAATCTAAATATAATATTAAAGGGACAATCCAGGCACCCAGACCACTTCTGCCCATTGGAGTGGTCTGGGTGCCAACTCCCACTACATGACGTTGGCGGTGGAGGAGCGTGGGTGGACCCTGATCCAGTGCCCAGGGACATCGGCGCTGGATACAGGTAAGTCACTGACGGGGTTGTAACCCCTTCAGCAACTTGGGATGGGGGGTGGGAGGGAGAGGGGACCTGTAGTTTTCCTGGCACTGGAGAGTCCCTCTAAATACAGATAAAAGTATGTTCTTGGTTTCTCAATAATATTATTCAGATATATCCTGAATACTAGAGTAAAACTCTGCTATTTTATTCCTGTGGGTAAGCATTGGTTTGGTTAAGATCTCGCTGATGTCAGTCAAAGAGGCGGAGCTTGAGTGAGGAGAACGGTGCAGCTATGCAAAAAAAAGGTGAATTCAATACCTTTTTTAACCCTGGGAGCACCGGCCCGTCACCAAAACTGCGACTAGGGCACTATACGATTAGCAATATATGCTTGTATTTTTACCTCAATAGTGTTCTTTTAAGGCACACTGATTGTCAATCCATTGCTCCCCTTTTGTAATATTACTAGGTGCAATGATAATGGACATTTACTCAGATCTTCCACAGTACCAAACCAATTTTAAAGCAAACCATACTCCTCTTTGACTGGCAGTTTCATCAAAGTTACATAGCTACAAAGTAATCGAGGTTGAAAAATGACTTAAGTCCATTAAGTTCATGCTTTCAACACATCTTTTTATGTGACACTATTTTTACCATCTCTGTTTGTATGCCATTTGATGCTTTTTAAAATTTTATATTAATAAATGGTGTTTTTACCTGAATGTACATGACAGAGAGACCTTCATTTTACAGTGGGGTTTTGCCCTAGCCAGTTTTGGTTCTGTTTTAATTTAATTACAAAAAATGTAAATAATGATTTACTATTGCTTTAAAGATCCAGCACTTATTTTTGCATTTCACAACATGACATCGATTGCATTTAACCCCTTAAGGACGGCGTGTGTGTGTTATGCTGTCCTTGGGGACCCGGCTCTAAATGCCGGTGGACGGCATAGCACGTCCTCTCTGTCCTATGTACTTACCCGATCTCGTTGGGTGGACTCACCTGGCCAGGGAGTTCCTCTGCTGCTGTTCCGGCACTACTGGGCCATGTGATCGCAAGGTCCTTGCGAGGACCTCACGAGCACATGGACGGCCTAGCCGTCCACAGCATTACCAGCAGGGGAGTGCCTGTAATGACAGGTACTCCCCCTGCTGCCTGTAAAATGTAAACAAAAAGGTTAAAACAGTTTAAAATAAAATTATATATATACTTGGATCATATATATCCATTCTCATATATACACATACACTGTCTAAGTGTATTTTAATATTAATATATATAATTTTATATATATATATATATGTATATATATATATATATCTATATCTATATATTAATATCAAAGTACGTAGAATGATATTGATTAAATATATATATATAATTATATGTCACAGGTGCCTCATCCCAGGGCCCTATTTAGCCTTGTACTGCAGAGAGCCCCAGATGGAATTTCTTCCCCAAGTAAGTGGGTTAATCTCATAAGAGCAGACATTAGGCTGTTAGTGTAGGACCTGCCAAAGATGGGGTACATTGACGTTGTGGCAGGCTTATGCAATGTATATGCCTAGATTAGGTGTTTTAAAAAAACCAAATGAAATCTTTCAACATTGAAGTTGCTGTTTAGTGGATAGGTAAGTGCGCTGGATCTTGTGTATTGTATAATTATATATAATATAAAATAAATACATATGTAAATACGTTACAAAAAAATTATATATATATATATATATATATATATATATTGATATCAAAATACACAGAACGAAATAATATATATATCTATATACATAAGTGTGACAGACCCTCCGTCAATCGATGTTCCTAGTGCTCACCAAGGACCATCAGCACCGCACCAGACACCATAAGCACTGCAGACCCCACGAACCGCCGCAGCTTGGACCGGGTCTCGCCGCCTTCTACCCACCCTGGACATACGACAAGGCTCCAGGCTCCAGTGGGTGAACCTCTCTTCCTTCAGAGAGCGTAGCAGGAACAGCTCTTACAAGAGCTAGTGATTATTCAAGGGAGTATGATGATCATAGCAATCCCTTGTAGTGATATAGCAGTTCCCTACAACACGAGATGAGGCTGCGAGCTGAGGGTAAGAAGGTCTGAGAGTTTTATGATACAGGTTGGATTTTTACACAACTTTTCAGGCCAGAGGAACACCCACTGGACCTGATGGGGCACCAGGACACACATTGTACAGACCAATAGAAGCAATGTAACAATGCCCGACACTCCCACATATAGCACACAATCTTTCCCCTCTGCCTGTGATACAATTAAGGTAGATAATGTATTAACGTAATTATCCCCAAGCATAAAAAAACACATATTTTACAAAGTCTCATAATTACCCCAAAATACAATATATCCCCATATCCCCAGTCACATCCACTGATAGCCCTGATCTGGATGAACAACATATCCAAAAATTACCCAGATCAGTGCAGAGGTTCAAATATTTTATGGAAGTCGTATTTTAGCTCAGGCGCAGGCATGGTCCCATGCACAAAACAGTTCCATAGAATTAGGCTGTGCGGCTGGTCTAGTTCGGTAGTTTGCAAACGAACAACCTACCGAACGGAGTCATTAGTCTTACCCTGGAGCTTGTTCCCTTCATCCAGACGAATGATTTCACCGAACAGTGCCCTTCATCATACTCCCTTGAACTTCCCCAAACACCATAAAACCTGTACATAGGGGGTACTGTTTTACACGTAAGACATCGCTGAATACAAATGTGTATTTTATTGCAGTAAAAGCAAACAGTATTATGACATTCACAGTTAAAATGTCACGTAGAACTAAAAAAATAAAAAATAAATATTTTTTCTCCCATTTTTAAAAAATATTTTATTCATATTAAATTATGTTTCATACCTAAATATTTGATGTTAAATGAAAGCCTTGTTTCCCCTGAATAAAATGATATATAATAAGTGTGGGTGCACTTAATATGAAAGAAGTGAATTACGGTTGAACAGACATATAGTCAAATTTCAGATTTTGTTTACGTTTTGTTTTGATCACAACTTATACAATTGGCACCGTCCTTAAGAGGTTAATCCAAATAAAAACAGGAAAAAATGGTAATACTCTCCTTAGTACTAGAGAATACCTTCAAATCTAAAAACTGATAGATGATTTAATATGTCACGACTACATTTATTTTTATGTACTCTGCGATGTATTAACTGTTAATTGGTTAGAAAATTACAGACCATTTATGCTAAATAACATTACTTTCATAAATTATAAATGATGTCGGCTACAAGCCCCCAGAGAAAATCCATTAAAATTATTTCTTTCACTAAACAACTCATTTCTGATAAAAGTCCACACGAGCAAATATTAAATGATTAATGAGTTCTTTACTCAATGTATTCCGCGGTGAAGGCTTTCTTTGATTTACATGCTCTGCCGTACGTGAAGTTCTTTAAAAGAGCACAAGAAAGACTTAAATGTCACAAAGCACAACACTTACACTCAGTGTTCAAATGGCTTTGTTTTGGCTTGTTCTAATTGGTGCTTGTTCCACCAGCACAGCTAGTGCCCTTAAAATAAGTAGTTTCAGCACGCTTCTGATTTAGGAATCCAAAGTGATATTTGAACGAAACATGAATCTATAATTCCAATGAATAGGTAAAAGTGTAAATTATATATTCGACTGGCATAAAATGCTTATTAATTTAAATTTCATGTTGCTAATGAAATAGCTATAGGTCATGAGAGGGATGGAAAGAAGTAGAGAACACAAATCATCCCCAATATTTGTTGCTCTTAGAAGAAGATTTGGGGCCACCAATGTTGTCCCTACATATTTAATTCCACATTAGCTAATCAAGGACTTATTAAATGAATATAGTTGGCAGGGCCGCCATCAGGGGGTGACAACCATGACTGTTGTCATGGGCCCGGCGGTCCTGGGGGACCCAGGCCCCCCATTCCCAATGTGCATACATATATATAGCGTTTATCGCTATATGTATGTGTTTTGGCAGTGGCATAACTATCTGAGGGGGCCCATCAGGTGGCCCATGCACTTAGGACCACCCGATGGGCATATCTCTAAAGGGGCCCGATCATTGCTGTGGATTTTTAATAGCTAGTCTGGGCCCCTTTAAGGATCGTGGCACTGCTGGGAGGAAGTGAGCTCACTTCCTCCCAGCTAACACCCGCGCGGGAGGAAGCACCGGGGAGTGTGAAGAGGAGAGGAGAACAGAGTCAGACCCACACCCACATTAGCATCAGCCCCAGCCAGCAGAGTCCACCCTCCTGCATCCTAAAGGTAAGAACCATGAGGGTGGGAGGAAGCACTGGCGAGTGTGAAGAGGAGGACAGAGTCAGACTCACACCCACATCATCCCCAGCCAGCAGAGTCCACCCTCCTGCAGGTAAGAACCAGGAGGGTGGTTAAAAAAGTGTGTCAGTATGTATGTGTACCTGAGTGTGTGTGTCTGTCTGTATCTGTGGATGTATCACTGTGTGTATCTATGTGTTTGTTTGTATCTGGTTGGCAGTGTGCACCTGAGTGTATGTTTTTGTTATTGTTTTATTCTTTGATTATTATTTTTTTTTTTTTATAGCAGTGCTGCAGCTTTTATGATCATGGTTTTCTAGTGACTGTATTTGATTTTTATGTACACTTTTTGTCCACAATAATTTTCACTACTTAGTTGATATGCCCCATTTATTTTAGTTTTAGTTGGGGTTCTATTTAAATGTTTAATCAGATTGTTAGTTTGTTTTGATAACTTTGTTGTAATGTATATCTTTTCTATTTGACGCTGCCTGTCCTGGCTTTTTGCTCTTTACATACAGACTGCCCATGTTGTGTACGTTTTTATCTTGCATAGCCTGTCTTATATTTTATGTGCATGGCCCATTTTCTGTCGTTTGCATTTATTTTTTTAAAGTGTGTTGTTTAATTAGTGCAATACATTTAAAAAATTTTTTTTTTATTATATATATCTATCTGGAGCGCTCACGCTTTCTTTTTTTTCTGAGATTCTCAACTAAAGCTGTGTTTATTTGGTGTGAATCTGCCCATAGAATTGATTACTTTATTATTGTTTCTCTACATTTTTACACATATATTTTATTTATATTTTGTTTTTATGTGTATCTGTTTGTGTGTCTGTATGTATCTGTCAATGTGCACCTGAGTGTGTGTGTGTGTCTGTATCTTTCAGTGTGTATATCTGTGTGTCTGTGTATTTACATGTATCTCAGTGTGTGTCTGTATGTGTCCTATGTGTGTGTATGTATCAGAGTGCATGTGTGTGTATCTATGTGTGTGTCTGTGTATATTTGGGTGCCAGATTGCACCTGAGTGTGTATCTGTGTGTCTGTATCTGGGTGTTAGTGTGCAAGTGAATGTATGTGTGTGTAACTGTGTCTGTATATTTTCATGTATGTCAATGCATGTGCCTGTATCTCCTATGTGTGTGCATGTGTGTATCAGTGTGTGTATGTGTCTGTATCTGTGTGTCAGTTTACACCTGAGTGTGTCTGTGTATATGTGTGTATGTCTGTGTATATGTGTCAGTGTGAACCTGAGTGTATGTGTGTGTGTAACTATGTGCCAATATGTGTAACTGTGTATTTGCATGTATGTCAGGGTGTGTGTGTGCGTGTGTGTGTTTATATACTACAGACATATGCACGCTTGCATTCAAACACCAACATTCAAATACACACATACTCCATTCAAAACCATGTTTATATTCAAACACACATACACTGCTGTGTGCTAAATACAGCCCTGCAAATTATAGATCCATAGCTAGCAAAGCATTCTGGGACTTACAACAGATTCGGATCTAATTTGGCCACTTTACACACACTGCATCCACTAAACACACACTGCATTGACTACACACACAGACTCTGCATTCACTCTACACACATAATGCATCTTTGTTGGCAGATTCAAGGATGGCCCTGTGGGCGGACTCGTGAGTGGGCACTGGGGGCCCAGACCTTGAACTTTGTCAGGGGCCCCAACATTTCTGATGGCAGCCCTGATAGTTGGGTCTGTAAACATTTCTTCTCTAAATAGTCTAAATGAATGTTTTGTAATTCCTCAGTTTACATTACATACATGATTTATTATCAAAAAGTTCTAGCGTACTTTAAACAAATTCAGAGACATATTGTCTTTCTGTAATATTAATGTAAACTGCCTGGGCTTTCATTCTCAGCTGGACATTGCTGGTGATACCCTGGTAAGTGCATTGGTAACTAGAGTTATATTACACGTTTCTTTATTTCAACATGTTGAATTACATTGGTGGCTTTAAGTATCAAACTTAATGAGCTTAATGAAGTAGTTTTGGTGTATAGATCAGGACCTGCAGTGTCAATAGTCTGACATTTAGGAGTTAAATCACTTTGTTTATGCAGTCCTAGTCACACATCCTTGTTTGTGACTTGCACAGACTCCCTAAATAATTTCTGTAAAGTGAGATATAATGTTCACACTTTGCACAGTCAGTTTAATTTAGAATTTCTTACCTCCTGCACTGTTAATAGACCTTGCAGGAGCCTCCTGTGTGTGATTAAAGTTCAAGTTCAGAGCAAGAGATAACACATTTAAAGCAAGTTACATCAGATTGAAAATGAAACCGTTTTGTTTTCATGCAGGCTATGTGAGTCTCGACCACAGGAGGTGTGGCTATGGCTGCATGGACTGAAACAAAAGTGATTTAACTCCTAAATGGCAGAAACTTGAGCAGTGAGACTTCAGTGGCATGTTCTATACACCAAAATTGCTTCAATAAGCTAAAGCTGTTTTGGTGACTAAAGTGTCCCTTTAAAAGTAGCCATTGCTTCTCTGTAAATTAAATCACTGAATAAAGTATTGAAATTGACATTACTTGTGCTAACCATTTTATATGATGCTCTGTTTTCTAGTAAATGTGTATTAAAATTTGATCAATTTACTGTGGGAAGCACGGGCAATCTTGTAGAGCGGACATTAAAAAAAAATTTGATCAATTTACATCATAAAGTAGGTCCGTCTTGACCCTGGCTCCTTGCTCTATCCTCTCTGCATGCTGATTGCCATGTGCAAAAGGCAGAGCTTATAACAATAAGTAACAGGTAGCTGAGTTGAACAATATTATGTAAGTTCAAAAAAATTTTCCAACACAATTCATCCAGTTTGGCTATTTTGGACTATCTATTCTCAATATTTTCTGGTTTGTTGAATAAATCCCATTCGCCATTTGGGCATCTTGTATAGAAAGAAGTGTCAGCAGCTTCTAGACACCGCAATAATAAAATCTATAACAATATTCCTTTGCCATTATTATATTCTAGTTCTTGCAGTTAAAGTGTAATTTAATATTAAGAAAGGGGCTAGAGCAGGGTCTGGCAAACTACGAAAACATGTCATGCATGGCACATGAGTCTACCAACCCAAATAGCCCAGATGGAAAGATCGGAGGATTTATCAATTAACAATTGGTTTATGGTTTGACAGAAATGGTTTTATGTAGCTTAAAAGGCGACTCCAAGCATCATAAGCACTACATTCTGCTGTAGTGGTTTCAGTGCCAGGACTATGCTGGCACCATGCACTGTTAATGGGGCAAACTGTTCTGAACTGGATCCAACCAGGCGCCATGCTACCTTTGAAGCCAGGAAATGTGCAAACAGGTGTAGCAGAACTCCATAAGCCAGATGCTAATCAAACAGATCATTCTCAGATCAACAAATAACCATATTGCAAGGAATATGTACAGAAGTATATACAGACTCAAAGCACCATGGCCACCTCAAATCAGTGATGGGCCTTGGAGTAACCCATTCATAGTACTAATATGCATTATAAGTATTCTTTTGTTTCTTGGGACTGTTGTAGTCATAATGTTCATATTCAGCTGACATTGTTGGAAACTGCATTCACACTGATGTCTTAAAGTAGGAATAAGCTGAGTTTAAGTTTTATTTTATATTTTTTTCAACAGTTTCATAGAAATGGTATTTTGGCATCTACACTAATTTTGGAAAATGCATAAAGTATTGAAACCCAAATAATACTGTATAATTCTAAAAAAATAAATAAAATAAAAATAAATCATATATATACTCCACTTTACCATTATATTTACCTTATCCAAGTTTTGGATGAGGTATATAACTATCAAAATAAAAATGCTCTGCATTGAATTATTTATAAATAATTATTGGTGTAAAAGTATAGCAGAAAAAGAGGCTCCTAGATATTTTTGTTTGTAAAATGTATACAAATAGTTGACCTTTCTATAGGATAATTGGCATTGACATTAGCCCGTACTTTTCCTGCTGTCCAAACTCCACACCTCCCCTATTTATTTAGAGAAGCAGAGCTTTCCCATTGAGGTCCGGCATTGGGCTTGCATAGAGCACTGTCACCAGTCTTTGAGTACTGGGCTTGCAATCACTCTGAACAACTGGTCTTGTCCAATAACTATTACCCTGGGGAAGTTTTAAATACACAGATTAAAGGAACACTCCAAGCATTATAGTAGTCAATGCTTCTCGGATGATTTAACCACATCTTTCTTTCTGCAAACGTTTTCTTTTTACATTTCATACATCCCTGCAGCTATAAGCCCACCCTCTACTGATACATGTTATGCACACTTGATTGTATAATATACATCCATATCCTCTGAAATATTACAATAAAATATGTATGTAATATGTAGTGTGCTACTAATTTAGCAATATAATGTACTAAAATATATGTATGGAAGATCTCATTTACATTTTATAAAATTCCTCAAAATATTTCATATACATTTATAGGTAATTTAGTGTGTCTTAAAACCTGATAAGATAAAAGAAAGTGTCCTTGAAAATCAAAATTCACTTTATTCTTGTATTTAAATAATAATAGCTATGTATATATGGGACATAAACTGTGACATGGTAGACGCCTGATAATGATGCACCGTTAATTACCTGTTAGAATGAAGAAATGTGTTTTATATCAGATGGAAGAGTCACTGCAAAAATATTCAACTCGTAACCCACAAAACTGACTGCTTGCCATTGCTCCTAGAAGATACTTTAAATGCATCACAGAACAGTGACAAACGCTGATTAATTACTAGTTTGAAAAGCAATTTGCTTTAAATAGTGCTAACACTTTGGGTTTCTTTTCCTTCACATTTGCTCTTTTGGAAAGCAAGCCTTATCTATAAATATAGTAAGTATATTTTTTCAAAGCTTTGCGTTTGATTGTTGATATACTGTGCTGCCGTATATTTTATCTCTGTGTTCTAGAAAATAAATTGGGAGTGTCATATATTTCTCCAATGTAGAGTTTCTCCAAGGTTCACTTGGAACTGTATAATAAAATATACAGACAGCAGTGAGGGAATGAAATTGAGACAAGACTGACCTTAAGTCATGAAAACTGGACTGGGATCAAGTTTTACAAAGTATGACTAGAGTCTCATCCTCGTGCTGAGAAGTTGAAATAAAGGGACACTATAGGCCCCGATACAACTTTAGCTTAATGAAGCAGTTTTGGTGTATAGATCATGCCCCTGTAGTCTCAATGCTCAATTCTCTGCCATTTAGGAGTTAAATCACTTTGGTTATACATCCCTAGCCATACCTACCTGCATGTGACTTGCACAGCTGTCCTAAACACTTCCTGAAAAGAGAGATCTAATCTTAACTTCCGCTAACTAGTAGAACAAAATAAAATAATACAAATTCACAAATGTTTTATACCTGATTTTATTTCAATAAAGTGTATTTGGCTTATATCCATTTGGTTTCAAGCCATATATTTTATTGCTATACTTATTTTATTTTTGCATTTTATTATTTTGTTCTACTGGTCTATGGCACCCTGATGAATATTCCAGCTGAAGATTCGTGGGCAATATATCCTTATATTATCACCTATGCTGAAAGTGTTGAGTAGTCCAACTGCTCTTAAATATGTGAGCACGCTCTATCCTTCTCAGAGAGCACTTACTGTGACACCAGAAATATCCACTGCATGGGAATTATACCTCCTTGAGCCTGATCTACCGAACTTGTGTCATAAGCTCCTCTCTTGTGAGTTTATTAGGTTCTTTTTATTTATCATGAGTGCATGCATTCTTAATTTGTGTAATATTTGTAATAATTTTTTTGTTAACTCTCCCCCTTCTAGTACCATCTCTTGCACTGTTTGTTTTTTTGTTTGTTTGGTTTCTCTCTCTCCCCCCACACTCCGTTGTGCTTACACAAAATATTTACGACCCTCTGTGAGAATGGTGTCGACTTCTAGTTTAATAAAAAAATGTATTACAGGATAATAATTTCACGTGTGTTATTTTAACACACACACACACATGCGCAATGGACACTATTTTAACCCCTTAAGGACTAAACTTCTGGAATAAAAGGGAATCATGACATATCAGACATGTCATGTGTCCTTAAGGGGTTAAACACAGCTTGTTTTAAAATCGAAGCATGGGTTACATAGTCACATAACTGAAAAGAGACTTGCGTCCATCAAGTTCAACCGTCCTCACATATGTTTTTGCTGTTGATCCAAAAGAAGGCAAATAACCCAGTCTGAAGCGCTTCCAATTTTGCAACAGATATCTCCTTGGATCAAGCAGCTATTACCCCACTAATTAGAAATTATATCCCTGTATGTTCTGTTTTTGCAAATATTTATCCAATTGCTGTTTAAACATCTGTATGGACTCTGATAAAACCACCTCTTCAGGCAGAGAATTCCATATCCTTAATGCTCTTACTGTAAAAAAAACCTTTTCTTTGCCTTAGATGAAATCTCCTTTCTTCCAGCCTAAATGTTTGACCTTCTGTCCTATGTATAGCCCTGTTTATGAATAGATTCCAGATAATGGTTTGCACTAGCCCTGAATATATTTGTATAATGTTATCATATCCCCTCTAAAGGTGCAGTTTTTTCCAAACTAAAGAGATTTACATTTACATGAGCTGCAGTTATAACCTTGTGGGTCTTATCAGCATGGCACAGGTTCTTGTCTGGAAGTTAACGTTTTTGGCACCTAACTATATGCTGGTTTCTGTTCACCGGTCCTTTGTGGTCACAACCCATGCTATGCTATTTCTTGAGTTTCTGTGCCCAATAAGGACTTTACAAAGTGTAATTTAAGTTATGCAGGTAAAGCACAACCACTATTTTTTATAAATATAGTTGATATTGGCACAACATTACAGCAACTCAAATATTCATTTATCAATAAACTACACCGTTACATAGATTTGGCAAATGTATTATGCAATAAGCGATGTGAGGTGCTCATGCAAAGTTTTATTAGCAGTGTCACATTCTACAATTAAATCTCTGTGTTTCAACAGGTGCTTCTTCGTCACACATAAATATTATCCTTTAATGGGACACAATGCCTACAGTACCTAATAACCGAACAGCTATTCACTCTTTTTTAAAATTTTATTTATTTTGAGGTATTAATAGCTCTGAATAATCTGCTATGTAATAAAAGCATGCAACTTGTACAGTGGGTAAATAAGTTGATTCAGGAGATCCTTGTTAGTGACTCAGACACCTACAGTGATTTGCAGAAAAACATTCCTGTTTGTATTAATTTCCATTTCCATGAGAGTTATATCCATGACAGGGATGACAGTAGGCATTCACAGCAGGAGGGTAAAAAGGAACCAAGTAAAAACACCAGACATGGGTTTGGAAACCCCTATCCATTAGGATGAGGTATTACTATTTCATACTAAGGGACTGGACATCCTCTAATGTATCTTGGGGGTGTATTGGAATACGTCTGTAGGGCCAGATAGATTGGGTAGTCAAATTAAAAAATGTCTGCATGTGGACAAAATGCCTGGCTCATTGTCTCCCGTCAGTGGGTCCTCCCTGATATTTTTGGCCCTGCCATGAGGATGGGGCTACTTGAAAAACCTGACCATAGAGTTGGATAGAAGGTAAGTTTATTCTTTCTTTTTTTATGACTGGGTGACCATTCCAGCAACTGTTACTGCTACCTAAAACAGTGCTTTATTAAAACTCTTTAGTTGCCAATAATTAGACAAGTGCAATCGTTTCGTTCCGAATGTACATTCGACCAAATTTTATGCAATTACAAATGTCCGAAGTTCGGTAGTTCGGAAATGTCAAACCGAACCGAAGTGCCGAATTTCCAAATTGCTGAAGTATTTCTGAAAAGTGGCAAAACAAAAGAGAGGGTGGGAAAATTACGTGAATGATGACAGGAATCTTGACCAATAAGCTAATTCCTGACACTGGGAGCCCTATAGACGTGTAAGTGGTTGTAGTGGGAGTCCCGGCACTGGGAGCCCTATAGATGTGTAAGTAGTTGTGGTGGCAGACCAGGCACTTGGAGCCCTATAGATGTGTAAGTGTTTGTGGTGGCAGTCCTGGCAGTCCCACCTGCTTCAAGAGGTATGCTGAAGCTACTTCATCTAGCAGGATGCTATTTCCAAATGTCATATTCCACACCCTTACTTTTTTTCTGTGGTAATACTGCCACACAGTTTTAAAGTCACTACAGTTGTTTAGTGAAAGTAGCATTTCTTTTTCACCCCAGGGGCATATTATGGTTCATTACTCACCTTTTATCTAACAACAAATTTAATTTTGCGATTGTGTCTTTTCCAGTTTGACCAAAATGTGCCAGAAATACATATTTTATTTAGATATATTTCAATAAAACTCCTTTTATAACATTAAGCCATGTTGACATTGATATCAAATGAACGTTTGTTTTGGTGATGTAAAATTTGTAATATGTCATGGCAGAGCAGTCAAATACTTTATCCAAAATGAATTTCGATATAACAGCAATCTGTGTGAACAGCTGCAACATAAATGTTTTGTACAATTTATTCTGTAGTACATCTAATTAAAAGGTGTTGAGTAAATTAAACTAGGTTACTATGTTGACACAGTGCAAATCATGCTAAACATTTTTATAATTCTTTAATTTTTTTTTCTTTTTTACCGATTGAACATGATTTTGTTTTTTACAGATTTAAAAAGATTTTATTTTCTAATTTCTGTATTTTTCTTGCAGTAATGACATATTGCTAAATACACAATACTATATCTTCAATAAACTTGTGGTAGTGAGATTAAAAACACCCCTAAAACAGACAGACAGGCAGAATAACAGTCACACAAATGAGTTCATCCACTAAGCCACAAATTGTGGAGAGCTGAGAAGATAAAACAAATGATCATTTTAAATCAAACTAGTTGAGGTGGAAAAAAAGCTGGGTTTGAGAATTTATTTACTTATCCCTTCAACCGTTTTTTAAAATGTGCTAATACCTTTGATTCCTTTGAATCCTTTGAACACACCAAAACCCTAAAGTACCCTAAAGTTAGAAGGAACACTCCAAAACCCTAACGTACTTTGGCCCTCATTGTCACTTCAAAAGTAATTGGGGTTTTAAAAGTGAATATGTATTTAAATCATAAAATAGATACACAATAAATATGTATTTAAATCATAAACTAGATACACAACATATATCAACCAGTCATCAAGATAAGCCAGCAAATTCCATTGGTCTAGCACCAGAATATATGTGATTTGCAGTAAGTTTATAAAATATTAGTATGCACTGCCATGTTACGTAGCACACAGAGACAGAGAAAACTAGCGAATAATTTTATTTTTATTCATTTTTTATCCATGAATTTGCTTTTGCTAGCAAAGAATATGGATGATTTATGCAATATTTTGTAAGACAGACATTAAAAAGAAGCAGAGTTCATCCTCTTCTGTGACAATATGGCAGATTCCCGAGCTTCACAGGACGGTGTCAAAGTCTGCCCCAGGAAGTGCTGCAGAGATTAGTGTCTGGTGCCCCTCCCCTGCAGTACTCCTCACCCAGTTAAGGCAGTATTAACTGGGGCAAGGGACAGTCACTGCCCTTCATGTTGCTTCATCCTGTTTATAGCCTGTATTTATCATCTTCGTCTCTTTTCACAATCTTTCTTCTGGCTGCGGATCGTGATCTGTCAGGCTGTATTCATACATTTGTGATGGTTACTACTACTTTGACAAATATAATAAATGTTGATTTAAGAAAAAAAAAAAAAAGAAGCAGAGTTTATAGATGGGCCACTTATTTCCCAAATTGTGAAAGCTCCAAATCGGGGTAATACATTAATTATTGGAGATTTTAATTACCCGGATATAAATTGGGATAGAGTGACTAATACTTCAGCAAGGGGAATCAGGTTTTCGAATGTGTTAAATGATACCTTCGTGTCACAACTGGTACAAGTACCAACTAGAAAAAATGCTTGTCTGAATCTCGTTATAACAAACAATGTCGATCTTTTTATCAACTTTTAAGTAGGGGAACATTTGGGAAGTAGTGATCACAATATGGTAATAAATTTTTTTTGAAATAAACAAAAAAAGCAAAAGCACGTGGGGTATACTAAAACGTATAATTTTTAAAAAGCCAATTTCAATAAGATTAGGGCAGCTCTACAACATATCGACTGGCATAAACTGCTTACTGAAAAAAAAACCACTGACGATAAATGGAAACTATTCAAACATATATTAAAAAGTAGACATGTGCAATTCGTTTCGGTCCGAATGTGAATCCGGTTGAATTTCGGGCAATTTGGACATTTGGGTACTTCCGAATGTCCGAATAGATGAATTGCTGAATGGTTGAAGTCCCGAAATTCTGAAATTACAGAATTTTCGAAGTTCTGAAGTACAGTATTGCCTAAGAACTAATATATGAAGAGCAAAAAACGGGTCGCAAGAGTATTCTGAGAACGGACAGCAGCTGAAATAGCCTGCCCTTCAGTGGGTCCCCGCTCAGAACTCAAGCTGGTTTTAGCTCATCTTGTGCCATTACAGAGAGAACATATCTGAAGCATATCAGACTGGTCCCACCCATATGGGCAGTCCAGATCCGAAATGCCAGCAAGTTCTCTCTGCACGAGAGATACAGCAACCCCAGACGAGTAATACTAAGTAATTTAGGTCTTTCAGCCTTTTGGTAGATAGCTCCCTAATACAGTGGGAATTAGGGAGTTATCTACTAAGCGGCTGCAAGAGAAGTCCCGAAATTCCAAAATGCCGAAGTTCCGAATTTCCGAAGTTGGCGAAGTTCTGAAGTGCCGAAGTTCTGAAGTGCCGAAGTTCTGAAGTGCCAAAGTTCTGAAGTGCCGAATTGCAAAAGTCCCGAATTGCGGAAGTCCCGAATTTCAGAATGCCGAACCGAAAATTATGCCCATGCACATGCCTATTAAAAAGGTACATTTCTCAGTATGTACCACTGGGTAATAAATATAAAAGAAACAAATTGAAACCAATGTGGTTTTGTAGAGAAGTAAAACAAGAGATTAAAAATAAGAAAAGGGCATTTAAAGCATTTAAATCTGACAAATCAGAGGCATCCTATATAAGATATAAGGAAGCCAATAATGCTTGCAAAAAGGTCATTAAAGTGGCTAAACTAGAAAATGAGAAATTGATAGCCAAATAATGCAAAACCAACCCCAAATTTATTTTCAAGTACATCAATTCTAAAAAAAAATCAAAAACCCATGAAAGTGTAGGTCCACTGGAAACTGGAGATGGGTTTGTTTGTTAATGAACTCCAGGAAAAGGCAGAAATTTTATATATTAATGAGGATTGGATGACTCGAGACAAGGTGATACAGCAGTTAAAGAAAATTTATGTAAATAAAGCTCCGAGGGCCTGATGGTATTCAGACACAAATACTTAAGGAGCTAAGTGGGGACATAAGTGAACCTCTGTATTTAATCTTTGAAGATTCTTTTGTTTTTGTAAATCTCTTTAGTTTGGAAAAACAGCACCTCAGAGAGGATATGATAACAACATACACATATATTCGGGGCCAGTACAAACCATTATCTGGAAATCTATTCATAAACAGGGCTATACATAGGACACAAGGTCACACATTTAGGCTGGAGGAGAGGAGATTTCATCTAAGGCAAAGAAAATGTTTTTTTACAGTAAGAGCAATAGGGATATGGAATTATCTGCCTGAAGAGGTGGTTTTATCAGAGTCCATACAGATGTATGGATAAATAATTGCTAAAACATAACATACAGGAATATAAACGCTAATTAGTGGGGTAATAGCTGCTTGATCCAAGGAGATATCTGACTGCTATTTTGGGATCAAGAAGGAATTTTTATCTAGTTAGTTGCAAAATTGGAAGCGCTTCAGACTAGGTTTTTTGCCTTCTTTTGGATCAACAGCAAAAAGATATGTGAGGAAGGCTGAACTTGATGGACGCAAGTCTCTTTTCAGCTATGTAACTATGTAGTTATGGTCATTTAAATACAGTGATTTTTCCCATGTAATTCATCTCCTTGAGAAAACTGAAATTTTAAGTTGGAGACAGTTTATTTGATATTGGTGAGTCAGAGCATGAGAATTGATTGCTGAAGAGGAAAGCAAGATGAGCGCTCTTCTTAGATTAACTTTATTTTAATGAAATATTTTTTATGTGTTATAATATTAGATGGGTTCTGAAATAAAGGTCTCTGAATAAATATTATGAACTGTGTTTTCCAATGCAGTTTTATATTGTTCACACTTTCTATTTGTCTCCGTAATATGTTGAAACGGAAGACTGTAATTTTAGAGGTTAAAATGATAATTATACGGCCCACGAATAGGAGCTCACGTATGACTATAAATCATGCAATGTTGTTATCGTAGAAGGTAATGTTTTCAGATTATATTCTCTCTATGGAAGGAAGTAGAGGTACAGCACAGGCAATAAAAGGAGTCGAAAACACACTTTTAATATATTGGATTGCTGTAAAGGGCATGCTTTTATGGATTGAGTGCTTTTAGTTTTTTTTTAGCATTGTGCAAGATAAAGAGAATGACAAAGTATAATAAAGAAACATAAACAATTACATCTGAAATCATTCTGTGAAATGCAATGTCAAAGAGGAGTATGTTTATGGTGTATTTTTTAACTTTGTGTGTAATTTTAAAGCTTAGATTTGTGAAATGAGAATGCTAACGAGATAACTAAATAATGGAATAGGATAATCTGGAAGCAGAGAAATTGCTTTAAAAACCAGTGATTTTACTGTAGACAAATGTAAACACAAATTACGAAGAAAATGTTGAATTATCCGAGTAGGGAATCTTTATAAAAGTTGCTCACAGGTACTATTTTTTTTGGTAATAAATATGTAGTATTAAAATTGCAATGTGACAATTATTATTGGCTTTAATTTGAAACCAAATATAGCAAGCACCTCTTGGAAACTTAGAAGGATATTTTTTTTTATTTTTTTTTTTTATAATTCTTTATTTTTGTGTGTCAACTCCAGGTTATGCTTTACCATGACAACAGAGCCACGCATGCAAATTGTACATACCATAGTATACATAAGCAATAGTCAGAGAGATAAGGTTAATACATGAGTTGGCATTTTAGATATTAAGGAACAAACATAATGCATTTTACAACTAGGGTCAGTAACGAGATGTGGCAGGTGAGCTCTAGGCTAAAAGGTGGGCATTGTGTGAAGGATATATGTTCCACGATCGTAGTGGCTTTAGTTAAGGGGCCATACCGTTAGATGTTGGGAAGTTGCTAGGTATGAGGATATGGTAACCAGAACGGTAGGTCTGAGTTTGGGCCTTATCGGAAAGACTTTGGTCACTAGACAGTTGAAATAAAATCTTATGCCTCTTTCGGTAATGGAGTGGACATATTTTATAGTGACATGAGGTGGGGGGGAGGAAGGAGGGGTGTCATTCATGAGCTATACCTATCGGTCTGCTTTTAAGGTCAGGTCAGGTGCCTAATCTGCTTTAGATAAAGAAATTAGAAATGTTAGAAAGTGAAACAAACAATAAAATGAAACAGAACAGGTCAGAATTTCTAGCAGTATGCGGGTCCTGGGACCCTTCGAGGGTTCAAGTAGTGGCTGCCACCTATGATTTATTTATTTATTTGCAATAAATTTCACTTTTTAAGTAGAGAGATGTTTATTTTTATTTTCATTTGAATTTGCTGGTGGACTACTATTGAATACCTTGACTACATGGGATTTGTTATGCCTATACACCTCTGCAACTCTGTAAGTGTTTCAACATTAAGCGTAATATTAGGCTAATAGCAGTCTGCACTTATTATTACACTTCTTTTCTCTCCTACATGCCCATACATGTGGGGAAGATCTTCTGTCAACCTTATTATTGATGTGCCTTCAATCAAACTTTTTTTGTGAATGTAACCTTGAACACCATTTCTAGGCTATATTTCAGATAGTGCACTATGATCTTTTTTTCTTCCTACTGTAGATCTAATATTTTATGTATGTATTGAGAGGACTGGAAGGAGTCCTATTTTGTCAGACTCTACAGTGTGGGGCATTAATATATAGGTAAAGTTTACTTGTTTGTTTTTTACCTCCCCACTTTACGTTTTTCCACTTGTGGTTTTCAAGGGTGATATTGTTGTATTGCGGTCAGAATATGTCATGTTTCTGAAAGAAGTGCTGAGTTTGCAAATTTTATATAATATCTATTATCACTGGATGTGAGGGAAGCTTTATAGAGACAGCCTTGTCAAACTATGGCTGTGATGAGGAGTTAGTAATGCATAGTCCTTATGTTTTGCAATAAATGTCTCTTTGTCTACTACACTGACAGCAAAAGTTTTTAAAAATTATGTATTTAATTTATTTAAAGGGAGACTATAGTCACCAGAACAACTACAGCTACATTTGTTCTAGTGAGTAGAATCATTACCTTCAGACTTTTTGCTGTAAACACTATCTTTTCAGAAAAAATGCAGAGTTTACATTACAGCCAACTGATAACTTCACTGGCCACTCCTCAGATAGCTGTTCGAGATCCTTCCTGGGTCATGGCTGCCTAAAATGCATCCAAACATTCAGTGTCTCCACCTTCTGCATGCAGACACTGAACTTTCCTCATAGAGATTCATTGATTCAATTAATCTCCATGAGGAGATGCGGATTGGCCAGGGCTGTGTTTGAATTGTGCCTCTTTGTCAGTCTCAGCCAACCCTATTGGGAAGCACTGTGATCGGATCAGGCTATCATTTCTGCTGATGTCAGCAGGCAGTGGGCAGGTCTTAAGGAAACAGTGACAAAGTAAGCAGCTTCAGGCTTGAATACAAGTAAGTTTTTGCTATAGTTAGGGCGGCATGAGGGGACCAGGGTGGCTAGATGGTTGTTTTAACCCTTTAGCGTCAGGAATATATGTTTGTGTTCCTGACCCTATAGCGCTCCTTTAATTATATACCAGTTTTCATGAAGATATGATCCAGGGAAATACTTTTTCATGCTAGAATATAGGTTTACATTTGTAAGTGTTTTGAGTTTGGTGTCTAGGCTTCACCCTGGAACAGGGGTGTATTTACCGTGAGGCACTTTCTGGGGGGGGGGGCGGTAAAAAAAGACTGGCAGCAGCGGCACTTTCTGGGCGGGTGGTGAGGGAGCACTGATCCTCCTATTCAGCTCCCTCGCGTGCACCGCAGTGATGCCGGAGCCGGAATATGACGTCACTCTGACCCCGGCATCACTACGCGACCGCGAGGGAGCTGAACAGGAAGATCAGTGCTCCCTTGCCGACTGCAGTAATCGGCCGGCCGCCCAGCAGTCCCACTGGATCCCAAGGAAAGAGAGAATCCCAAAGGTAAGGAGGCTGGGGTGGGGGGTTGCATTTTAAAAAAAAATATTAAAAATGTGAGTGTTTGTGTGTGTGTGTGTCTATTAGTGAGTATGTGTTTGTGTCTGTTAGTGAGTATGCGTGTGTCTGTTAGGGAGTGTGTTACTATGTATGTGTCTGTTAGTGTGTGTGTGTCTGTTAGTGAATGTGTTAGTATGTGTGTGTGTTAGTGAGTGTGTGTGTATGTTGGGGAGTGTATTACTTTGTGTGTGTCTGATAGTGTGAGTGTGTCTGTTAGTGTGTGTTTGTTAAAGAGTGTGTTAGTGTGTGTGTGTCTATTAGTGTGTATGCATGTCTGTTAGTGAGTGCGTGTGTGTTAATGAGAGTGTTTGTTCTGTTAGTGAGTATGTATGTTGTCTGTTAGTGAGTTTGTATGTCTGTTAGCTAGTGTATGTGTGTCTGTCAGTGAATGTGTGTGTCTGACACTGAGGGTATATGTGCCTTTCAGAAGGCGGGGTGGGGGAGGGGGGTGCCTAAATTTTGTCGTGCCTATTGCAGCACAAAACCAGGATATATCACTGTCTATATGTCTGTTAGTGTGTGTGTGTGTGTCTGTTAGGAAGTGTGTTACTATGTTTGTGTCTGTTAGCATGTGTGTGTCTGTTAGTGAATGTGTTAGTATGTGTGTTAGTGAGTGTGTTAGTGTGTGTGTCTGTTAGTGTGTATGCATGTCTGTTAGTGAGTGTGTCTGTTAGAGACTGTATGTGTCTGTTAGTGAGTGTGTGTGCCTGCTAGTGAGAGTGTGTGTGTCTGTTTGTGAGTGTGTATGTCTGTTAGCTAGTGTATGTGTGTCTGTCAGTGAATGTGTGTGTCTGACGCTGAGTCTACATGTGCCTGTCAGTGAATGTGTATGGGTATTTAGGAGGCGGAGTGTGGGAGTGGGGAGGGGGGTGTCTGAGTTTTGTCATGCCTAGGGCAGCACTAAACTAAGGTACCTATAGTGGGGGGCTGTGGATGTTTCATGTTTGCTGTACATTCTCTGGATGTCAAGGAAGTTGGATTAAAGCCAATCAGAATGGATAGGAATATATGAGTTGGGTTCAGTCAGGATTTATATCTATATTCACATTGTTCATACAATCAAATAAGAAGGGTTCTAAATTTACTCTTCTTTAAGTTAGGCAGATAACATGTTTGAATAGACTCTGCCAAAGATTAGTAAGAAGGCTTTGTCTCATCCAGGATACAGTTATATAGGTCAAAAATGCCACCATTCTAAAGATTCCACTTCCTGAAAATAAGAGAAGAAGCAATGCATTTGTCAAACAAGCAAGGGACAGAACAAATCAAAACACAGAGGAACAATGAAGTGAGTCAATCTCTTTCGATTGTTTTCATAAATAACTATATTCAATGATGTTGAAGTTAGATTCTTATTCGTCAGGCTTCTTATTCGCAGGCTGAAGTTAGCTTCTTATTCAGTGATAGAAAATAGCTTCTTATGCATATAATTTCTTATTAAAACATGACTTTTATTCTTTTGAAATGTATGTAAATCTTATGAACGCTGCAATATAAAGATTACTTGATTAATACAGTATTCATAAGCAAGCCATATTTCTACACATTTCTGATGTAATAATAAATAATGAAAACAATAAAATAATACAAAATGATATTAGTCATATAAATTAAGTTGGCTTGTTCAAATTGGCTCTTGTTTCTGTAAAGTAGTACATTTTATCTTCCGCCTCTAAAATAAATAAATAACACATTTGCCACTTAATGAAGGCATTAAAATGCCACCTTGAGATCAATGCCATTTAAACTAAATCCATCTTCGCCATGTTGGCATTGATTTCTATACATGAGACACCCCTCTTTGTCATACAATAATATTCAGCCTGAGTCAAACTACAATTTTGATTACTAAAACTGGCACCAAAGTGGCACGGTCAACTCAAATACAAACACAAGTAGAATCAGCACTTAGTTAATACTCCGCCATAACCCAAAAGTGAGGAGAAAAGTCAGAGAGTAAACTAAACAAAATTAAATGAGTTCCAACAATAATCTTGATCAGAAAAAAGGATATTATTCCAAGTTGAAGGGAATAAAACATTGATCTGTGTGTGCCTTCAATTGTATCCAATCCAGGTGTAATCTTGTATCCACCTTAAATTAGGAAAGACACAAATATAGTGTAACACTGTAAATATATATTTCCCTAAAACAACCCCTATATGGAACTCTTACAAGATTTTGTGGTGGAACTTATCTCTAAGTTACAGTCGAGCAGGTGTTGTTACCACTTCGTCGATGAGGAACTGCAAGCCGATTCTGTGCACCTGAGCCATTGCAGACCTCCCTTGTCTCTGAAAGATGCCGACTGTGGATACTGCTTAGTTCTGCTGTGTCATGGATCTTACCTGGAGTGGGAGTCCGGCACGCAGAGTTAAAGCACCCTTTGCAATTCGACACAGTCCGAGGGGACTCAGGACAGAAATCCCCAAGGCTGTGACACAGCGCACTGGGGCTGAAATAATCAGTGCTTCATAGAACGCAGTACAGACAAGGGATATCCAGAAGAGTAGTCAGTATCAGAATCAGAAGTCAGGACAGGCGACAATCAGGTGAAAACTGTAGACGAGCAGGGGATCAAAACCAGGAGTCAGATGAAAAGCAGTGAAACCAAACAGGAACAGGAAACACGATCTGACAACGAGAACCAGCCTTGCGGGGTTTAAAGAGGGAGTCTCAGCCAATCATCAAGGAACCAGGAACAGGTGTGCAAATTCCAGGTGTACAGGCTCAGACTACAGGATACCAGGAACAACCCAAAACAGTCAAAGATGCGTGGAGCCCAATGTAAGGATACTGACTGGGATGTAGGAAACTCAGGTTCGATCCCAGCCAGACCCAAATACACAATATTGTGTAAAGCACAATGGTGATCCTGTCAATGGTCAATATGAAAGTGTGCCAGCAGGTGAACTACGCGTTTAGCTCTGGCTTTCTCAAGATACAAAGTTCTGTCGGGTTTGAATCATGTATATACACCCATTTTTACATCAAAAAACGTCTTAACCTCTCAACCTCTTAAAGATGTATACCTGATATAAGGTACTTATATCAACAGAAATGTTTACTTTAGTGCATGTTTAAATAAGAGCAAGGGAGTTTCAAACAATATCAATAAAATATTAATATTATGGAGAAATGTGTCATATAGTTTTTACACGTTCACACATTTATCCTGGTTAAAATTATACTTCAAATTAATATAAATAACATTAATAGCAAAATTTAAAAAATCACTATTATATAAAAATCAGTTATGTATACATAAAAAAATTATGGGATCATTGCACATTTCAGGTAAAGTTTAAGATTAAAATCTTAATTAATAAAACTGGACTAATTTAAATGATTGGGATGAATCATTTATAAAATGTTTGTAATCTCACACTCTGCATTTAACCCAAATGGAGCTAAAGTTTTTAGACTGTAAATCCAAAAGGTTTCTCGATGTATCAGGTTTTTAATGAGATCACCACCTCTCCATGGGACTTTGACTTGTGTATCCCACAGTAGGTTAGAGAGGCTGGATTACTCGCATGGTGTGTTTTAAAATGGTACGAAAGTGTGTGTTTCTCGAATTGACGTATATTATAAACGTGTTCTCCTAATCTAATTTTTAGCAATCTCTTAGTCTGACCCACGTACTGTAGGCCACAGGAGCAGCATATTAGGTAAATTATTTGTTTTGAGTTGCAAGTTATGCATTCTTTAATTTTATAGCTTTTTCTAGTCACTGTAGATTGAAACTCATTGACTTTCCCATATGGTTGACCTACTAATTTGCAAATATTACATGTACCACATTTGTAAAAACCTATATGGGAGTTTACATTTTTTTTTCTGTGGATGGTCTAACATAACTATGTACCAATTTGTCTTTTAGTGTGGGAGCCCCTCTAAACATAATCTTAGGTTTAGGTGGTAAGATTGAGGATAATACTTGGTCCTGTTTCAATAGCTCCTAATGTTTATGGATCACCTTCTTGATGAAGTTTGGGCATTAAAATAAAATATTAGGGGGCATATAAAATCTGAGGAGGTATTATCTTTTCTCCGTAATCTGCTACTAGGGGCAGATATACTAATTTTGTCATCCCCATTGAAGTGCATTGATTTGAAATGTGGTTTAGCTCAGAATAAATGCTGTTGGATGACATAGAGGGGACCCCAGTGCATTGAAATAAATGGCATCTTGGGTGAGCCAAGTTGGTTTTCATATAGAAAAACCTTGGTTACATATTTAGAAATCCCCATTGAAATGCATTGAGTTGATGGTGCCACTTTGGTGCCAATTTTGATATGAAATGTGCTTTGGCTCAGGATAAATGTTGTTGGATGACATAAAGGAGTCCTCAGTGTATTGAAATCAATGGCATTTCAGGTGAGCCAAGTTGGTTGTCATATAGAAAAACCTTGGTTACTTATTCAGAAATCCCCATTGAAATGCATTGAGTTTATGGTGCCACTTTGGTGCCAGTTTTTGATATGAAATATGGGTTGGCTCAGGCTAAATGTTGTTGGCTGACATAGAGGAGTCCCCAGTGTATTGAAATAAACGGCATCTTGGGTGAGCCAAGATGGTTTTAATGTAATAAAACCTTGGTTACTTATTCAGAAATCCCCATTGAAATGTATCGAGTTGACCGTGCCACTTTGGTGCCAGTTTTTGTAATCAAAATTGTAGTTTGGCTCAGGCTGAATATTATTGTATGATGAAGAGGGCTGTCCAGGTTATAGAAATCAATGCCAACATGGCAAAGATGGATTTCATTTTAATGGCATTGATTTAAAGGTGGCAGTTTAATGCCCCCTTTAAGTGGCAAATGTGTTATTTATTTTAGAGCTAAAATGTACTACTTTACAGAAACGAGCCAATTTGAAAGAGCCAACTTAATTTATATAACTAATAACATTTAGTATTATTTTATTGTTTTCATTATTTATTATTATATCAGAAACGTGTAGAAATTAAGCTTGCATATGAATACTGTATTAATCAAGTAATATTTATATTGCAGAGTTCATAATATTTACATACATTTTGAAAGAATAAAAGTCATGTTAAGAAGTTAGATAAATAAGAAGCTATCTTCTATCGCCGAATAAGAAACTGACTGAATAAGAAGCCAGCTTCAGCCTGCGAATAAAAAGCTGGCCGAATAAGAAGCTAACTTCAACATCATCTATATTCAGCAATGATCATAGGACTTCAGTGGCATTTTGCAGAAATTCTAGAAATGCCTATAAATCATTTTGCATGACTGAGTGAGGCAGAAGAATTTGCAAGGTATGGTTGTGATCAATATTGTTGCTGTTTTAGTCAAATAAAAATCCTAATTTTTTGAAGAATTATTTTCTCTCAAAGTTCAAGACCCATAAAAATAACACTGTGTAAAAATAATCTTGAGATATACAATGAAAGTCATATGTCAGTGTTTGCAGATAACACAAAACTAGGCAAGAAAATACAGTCTGAACATGATATAACATCTCTACAGAGGGATATGGATACATTGGGGGGGACTTGGCAGGCATGTGGCATAAGAGTTTCAATAAAGATAAATGCAGTCATGCATTTTGAAGAAAGGAACCTAAAAGCCCCTTGTACATTAAATGGGGTTGAGTTAGGGATAACATGAAAGATTGTTTCCCTTTTGTTTGGGGGGGTTGGGGTGTTTAGCAATGCCCCGCTGTGCATGCCTGGTACAAGGTCTTTAAGGACAACGGTATACATGTTCTGTTCCAACA